TCACCACGTCCACTTTGCGCTGAAACGCGTGTGCGATCCCTGCACCCCATCCCTGCGGCGCGAAGCTGTATTGGGTGATAGAGTCCCCAAACAGCACAGCCGTGTCCCTGCACAAGCGTGTTGATGGATGGGCGAGGTGGACGAGGCAACAGCCCAACAAACGCAACCGTTAGGCAGCGACATCAAGGGTCACTTCCCCCAAGCCAAAGCAAGCAGCCTAACACGTGAAGACAGCCGAGCACGCGAGCGAGCAACCCAAGCAGGTGAAGTCGCACCTCAGTGGCGGCTGTTCCATCTCTGCTGTTGTCCGCTTTCCGTTGTTTTGTTTGTGTTGCGCTGACGCTGCTGTGGTGTGTGTGGCGTGTGTGTGTGTGGTGTGCGTGGGTGTGTGGCACGATGGAGCGCAGTGGGCCGCGAGCCAAGAAGGCAAAGGGGGAGGGCGCCGGGCATCAGGGGAAAGAGGGGAGGCAGCAACAAGGGGGAGGTAGAGGACAGGGAAGGAGGAAGAAGAAGGAGAAGGAGAAAGAGGAGGGGAAGCAGAAGAAGGAAGGGCGCGTGTATGATGCCATGTACCGAGATGAGACGTTTCCAATGACAGATGCATCTTGGGCGACGTTTGTGCACACGGCGACGACGCGGTTCAAGCAGGCCACCGCGCAGCTCGCAGCGAGCACGCACACTCAGCAGTCCAAAGACACGAACGACAAGCACAGCGCGAGCGATGGGGTGCTGCAGCCTGATGTTCCAGCAAACGTGGATGAGATGTTGAAGCTGGGTGGCGCCGTGCTTGATGTCAAGCCACCACAGCCGTTGCAGCAGCTCACGTCTGGCAACGTCGCTGATGCGTTGAAGGAGACCCAACGGTTCCTGTGGAGGCTGCAATACAACCACACAGGCATGCAGTTCTTCCCCGTCAAGAAGTACCTTCCCCTCACCCGTCTCATGGAGGTGAGTGAGTGTGTGTGTGTGTGTGTGCGTGCGTGTGTGTGTGCGTGTGTGCGTGTGTGTCTGTGTGTGTGTCTGTGTGTGTGTGTGTCTGTGTGTGAATGCGCACTGGAGGGACATAGATGTACATTACGCGCACGATCAAGTGCTTCCAGTGACAGCCTGCACAAGCGTTGCTGACCCACGCTCCTCTGCTCACGCCCAACTGTCGCTCCTTTTGCCCTTGACAGCTTGGTCGCCTCATCTGTAGGACATGTCTGCCCATCAAGTGTTTGGAGGCTGTGATCGTTGCCCTCTACCTCTTGCTCCCCTTTGAGAATGTACGCTGGCACCCTCTGCCGCCTTTCCTTGTCTGCCTGACCCTGCCTCTGTGTCTCTCGCGCCTCGCTTGATCGCCCCACCCACCCTACTTTGGCACCACCCCAACCGCTCGCCCTTCACATCCACCCATTCCACGACGTGCAGCTGCACCGGATCCCCATCAGCTTCAAGTCGCGCTTCTGCGGGCACACGTACCAGCACATTGTTCTTGGCGTGCATGTCAACGGCAAGTTTGGTGCGCTTGGTCTCTCCCGTCGCCAGCACCTCATGTACAAGCCCTGTCGCTACAACTCCCTCGCAGCCCTCATCCGGGTACTGCACATGTGTGTGTGTTTGTCTTGTGTGCTGTGTTTGTCTTGTGTGCTGTGTGTGTCTTGTGTGCTGTGTGTGTTTGCGTGTGTCTTGTGTGCTGTGCGTGTGTGTCTTGTGTGCTGTGTGTGTTTGCGTGTGTGTGTGCCTCTGTGCGTGTGTGTGTATCTGCCTGTCCATTCGTCATTCCATCTCTCCATCTCTCCATCTCTCCATCTATCCATTTCTCCATTTCTCCATTTCTTCGTCTCCCTGTCTGTCTCTGTCTGTCTCCGTCTCTGTGTTGGTGCTGGCGTGGTCCGTTCGTCATCCACGGAGCCTAACCCCCGCTCCCCCCGTATCACCGCACCACGTGCTCACTGCTGCAGGAGTACGAGCAGCGCTATGAGGAAGTTGGTCACACCCTCGTGCGTGTGCGCGTGGGACGCCCCATTCCACCAAGCAGACACAGCACCCAGGCCATTCCCTGGCGACATCTCATACTCGTCATGAAGCGGGTGCGTGGACACGCGCGAAGGAGGGGGTTGGGGCTGGGTTTCGTCAACTTGTCAGTCATTCTCGCAAACGAACACACACACAATTCACACACACACACACACACACAATTCACACACACACACACACACACACACACACACACTCACACACACACTCACACACACACGCTCACAGTTGGGCGAGGAGGACCTACGCAGCGCGTGCGAGCGGTACATGCGGCAGTTGCGAACGGGTACAGTTGAGAGCGGCGTGCGTGTGGTACGTGCCTGCAAGCAACGCAGCAGCAGGAAGCACTCGAGACCAAGTGCTGGGCGGCGGAAGAGGAAAGGTGGACAACAGATGGCAAGTAGGCATGATGATGACGGCGATGATGATGATGATGATGATGATGATTATGATGGTGATGATGATGAGGATGAGGATGAGGATGATTATGATGGTGATGATGATGAGGATGAGGATGATAATGACAGTGAGGAGGACAGTGCTTATGACAAGTGGGAGGACGCTGATAGTGATGGCGATGGTGATGGTGATGACACCACAACTGCGACGGCACGGCCAGCGTTTGAGATGCGCGTGTGATGCTCATGCGGTGTGATGCGATGTTTATCGTGTGATGAGTGACTGCAGCCAGTTGTCTGTGTCTTAACCGTATTCGAAACGAAATGAGGCCAAAACGCCTTGCTGTGCCCGTAACATGAGAGCTTTAATTCCTTCACTCGCAAGGGGCATGAATGTCAACATGTGTGCATGTGTATGTGTGTGCGTGCGTGTGTGTGCGTGTGCGTGCGTGCGTGCACGTGTGTGTGTGTGTGTGTGATTGAGGGGACAACGGTTCACTTCCGTCATGGCGTGTGTTGCAGATCGCAATGACGGGAGAAATGGGCGTGTGTGTATTGTTTGGGGCAACAGGACACCAGACAGGGACACGAACCAAAAGAACAAGGGGAGCACAAGGGCTCACCCATCGCAAGGGCACATATGAACAGTGGCGACAGACGACAGGAACGGCGAGGATGGGCACTAGGGACAGCAGCACACGAGCGCAAACGTGTGTGAAGGAGGGAAATAGAAGAGTGGAAATAAAAGGTGTGAGAGGGCAACAGAGGGGAGAGGTGAGGAGGAAAGGACGGGAGATGAAGGAAAGGACAGGAGGAGAAGGAAGAGCAACGGGCAAGCACGACGGAGGCAAATGGCGCCACGTGTGGATGCAACAACGCAAGCAGCGCAACAAAGACACGCCGCGCTGGTACGGTGAGGGGGGGCGGGCAGGCAAGCACACCCCCCGCCTAATCTAGGGGCGCCCTGTGTTCAGAATGGGACGTGGCGGAAGAGGTAGGAGACGCTCTCGCCGTTGTGTGTGCGGCGAACGGCCTCAGCAAAGATGGGCGCGACGTTGATCACCTGGATCTTCTCGCACCGCCGGATCTTGTCCTCGTTCGGGCACGTGTTGGTAATCTTTGGGCGTACAAGTGAGTGAATGAATGAATGTGTGTGCGTGTGTGTGTGTGTATGTGAGTATGTGAGTGCGTGAGTATGTGAGTATGTGAGTGCGTGAGTGCGTGGGTGAGTGTGTGAATGAGTGGGTGGAGTGAGTGATTACGTGTACGTGTTGCATAAGGAAGCAAGTACGTGCGTGTGTGTTTGTGTGTGTGTGTTTGTGTACGTACCACGACGGAATGGATACGGGAGGCGTTGATCTTCTCGATTGCATCACGCGAAAAGAGGCCGTGCGTCACAATAGCAATCACACGCGACGCCCCGTGCTCAAGCAACCTGCACACGTGGCAAAACAAGAGGCAAAAAAAAAAAAAAAAAAGGGAGGCGTGTTGGAGGTGGAAGGGAAAATAAAGAGTGTGAGGAAAAAAATTGAGGTGTGAGAGGTGCCAAATTGTGAGAGCACACTGTACCATTAGCAGCACTCATCAACACGATCAGACCCTGCACCCCTTCCAACTTCTGCGCTGCAGGTATGTGTGTGCGACGTACTTGTCTGCGGCCTTGACAAGTGTGCCGCATGTGTCCGCAATGTCGTCCACAACAATGCACTCCTTCTCCATCACATCACCAACAAGCGTCATGCTTGCAACCTCGTTGGCTTTCTGTTGTTGTTGTTGTTGTTGTTGTTGTTGTTGTTGTTGTTGTTGTTGTTGTTGTTGTTGTTGTTGTTGTTGTTGTTGTTGGTGGTGGTGGTGGTGGTGGTGGTGATGGTGTTGTTGTTGTTGTTGTTGTTGTTGTTGTTGTTGTTGTTGTTGTTGCGCCAAACGTTGGTGAGAAGCAGGCGACAAAACACAAGGCAATGAACAACAACAATGCCAGGGGTAATGGTGCAGAAACGGGTACAGCTCTGACGACAGTTCACAGTTCGCACCTTGCGCTCCTTGTGGATGATGGCAAAGCCGGCGTTGAGTTGGTCGGCAATGGAGGTCACGCTGCAGAGGTGGGGGGGGGGGTTATGGTGAGAGGGGGGGGGGTTGATGGTGAGAGGGGTGTGATGGCGAGCAACACCGTCAAACCAGCGCACCACGTACAGGCGGGTAGCCACACGCGCACACAGACAGACGGACAGACAAACAGACAGACAGACACACAGACAGACACACAGACAGACACACAGACAGACAGGCAGACAGACAGACAGACAGAGAAACACACAGACACAGACACACACACACACACACATACACACATACACACACACAGAAAGACACACATACACACACAGCAGGCGCGCGGGGGCGACCAACCGCTTTGCGCCGCCTGCGTCTGGGGAGACGATGACGACATCGTCGATGTTCATGCTGTTCTCGCGGATGTGCTTGATGATGGCGGGCTCTGCATACAGGTTGTCGACCGGCAGGTCAAAGAAGCCCTGGCAGCCAGGGAAGGTGATGGTAGCGAGAGGGGGAGAGGGAGGGAGGAGGGGAGGACGGATAAGTTCCGCGTGAGTATGTTCAACGTGAGTGTGTTCAACGTGAGCATGGGTGACGCGCTGGCATGGTGTTGGGAGACAGCACAGCAGCGGCAACCGCGGTACAACACTGTAGAGGGCACTTCGAACCACGTCATGCCACACACAAGAACACAACAAAAGGCGGTAAGAATTAGAGATGGGGGTGGGGGGTTGGCACCTGGATTTGGGAGGCGTGGAGGTCCATGGTGATGATGTGGTCTGCGCCAGCGATGGTGAGCATGTTGGCAACGAGCTTGGCGGTGATCGGGGCACGCGACTGCACAGACAACGGGGAACACAGAGGGAGGGAGAGGGAAAGGAGTGCCATCGATTCATCAGCGGTGTGTGTGTGTGTGTGTGTGTGTGTGTGTGCGCGCGTGTGTGTGCGTCCATCTCTCTCGCTCTGTGTGTGTGTGTGTGTGTGTGTGTGTGTGTTGCTATGCATTTACACGTACATACTGGATCGGAACATCGTGTGCCTCAGTTGCATCCGATTCACACACACACACACACACAAAAAAAAAAGATACACACACACACACGCACTGCACCTTGTCCTTCTTGTCCTGGCGGGCGTATGGGTAGATGGGAAGGATGGCGGTGATGCGTTGGGCAGATGCGTACTTGCAGGCACTGATCTGTTGGTGCGATCAGCCAGGTGGGCCGTGGGAAAGCATGTCAGGGAGACGCAGGAAGAAGTGCGCTTGTGTGTGTGAGATGAACACACAACACCCATACACACACACACACATGTACACACACATGTACGCACGCCAGGCGCGGGTTGCGTACCATGATGAGGAGCTCCATGAGGTTGTCGTTGACGGCGCCAGAGCCGCAGCCGACGATGAACACATCCTCGCCACGCACAGAGACGCCAATTTCAACTCTGCAGGCACAGTGGTCAATCGGCATGAACCGTCAGCGATGAGCAGGAAGCAGATGACTGCAAAAACTAAACACATGACGCATGAGGCACTGCTTGCCGAGCAAGCAAGCACCCACCCACGATGTGTGGGCGGGGATATCATTCAGCTTACGCAGTCTCGCCGTTGGCAAACTTCTTCACGGTGGTTGGCTCCAGATCCAGACCAAGGCGGTCGCAGATGGCCTTTGCCAGGTGGGCGTTCTCCGTGCCTGACAAGGTGTGTGTGTGTGTGTGTGTGTGTGTGTGTGTGTGTGTGTGTGTGTGTGTGTGTGTGTGGAACAGTGAGCCAAGTAAGTGCGTTTGGAAGATACGCACAGAAGGTTACATGCAAGCAAACACAAATACATGCGCATACGTAGACACAACAGCAGCCACACACGCCCACATCAACACCAGCGTTTCATGGTTCATGAAAACCAAACACTCACCGCTGAGAACTCTGACGTTGCCTGTTGCCATTGTTGTGGTTGTTGGTTGATTAAAACGCGGGGTTGGTTGTAGTTGTTGCCGTCGTGTGTCGGTGCAGGGCTGCGAGCTATCTAGTGAAGCAGGTGACTGGTCAGCGAGAGGAGAAACAGGAGAGCTGCACTAATGTTCTGAGATGCGGCGTGGACGACGTGTGGCGTGGGCGTTGTTTGACAACAATGGTGATGGTGGTGATGACGGTGGTGCTTCGTGCTTGGTGGGGGGCACAAGGTCTGCCAAAGCCAAAGCCAAAGCCAATCCACGTGTGTTGTGCTGCTGCTGCTGCTGTTGTTTGGGCTTTCGCAAGCGCTCTGTGATTTTGTTCGCTGGTGGTGGTTGGGCGCGAATTGCAATTGGCAACGGCGGCGGGACAGGATGCAATTGGCAAAACCACACCCGGACACGACACAGGGAGCTGAAGTTGTTGTTGTGTGGTTGATGGATGTGTTGAGCGTTCTGTGCAGCAGCAGCGACGACCTGCGAGTGAGTGAGTGCGAGTGAGTGAGTGTGAGTGCGTTGGCAGGTTGAGTAGCAGCAACAAACAACAACAACCAGCAACAACAACAACAACAACCAGCAACAACAGCCAGCAACAAGACACGGGCTAAAGCAAGGCAGTCTCTCGTTGACATGGGCAAGGCAGCGATACCGATGATGACGGCAACGACCACGTTGCTGCTCGTCATGGCAGTTGCCGGCACCTGCTGCTGCGTCTTGCTATCATCCACAGCAGTGGCTGGGGAGGAGATGTGCACGCACCATGACGCCGGTTCACATGCACAGGAAGGAAACAAAGGCGCAGAAGCACAGGGCTCCTCGTGCGGTTGCGGCAGCTTAAGCAGAAATACAGCAAGTAAGTGGGCGTGTGTGTGTGTGTGTGTGTGTGTGTGTGTGTGTGTGTGTGTGTGTTGTGTGTGTGTGTGTGTGTGTGTGTGTGCGGTTTGTGTGCGTTTGCGTGTGCGTGTACAGTTGTGTAGTCGGATTCGTGTTCTGTGGGGTTGTTCTTGTGCTTGTTCTTGTGTTTTTGCTTGTGTGCATGACACATGGAAGCGGGAGTGGGGGCTTCACGCACGCGCAA